TTTACACTATATTGTATACACAAAACTTGATAAAAAATTGAACTATAAATACAACCACATTCAAACGCAGATAATATACTTACCATCAAGTTTCATGCTAATCGATTCACTAAAGATTTTAAACTAAAGGTGCTGAACGTACACTTAGTATGCTATGAACTTGTAAGACAAAGACAACAAAATAAATGACTGTAGCATCCTCTTAAGTTGTTCATGATTTTGTTAAAAATATTATTTCCCTCATTTATCAGGGTGTACTTAGTAACATTTCTAGTTCATTTAATATTTTAGAGGTACTGAATGCAATTGTTTTATATTTTTTATGCTGAAAAGTGTGAATGGAAAAAAATTATGATTTTGGAACCTCAGCTCTGTATCTAAAGTTAATGTATAGCAAGTACCTAACTAGTTTATTTATTGTTATTTTTTCAGAAAATTAAAGTTGTATGAAGAACAAGAATTAACTATGCAAGTTTTTTGTGATCTAGAAAATAAAGAAATGCCAATAAGCCAAGATAATATTGTGGTATATTAGTTTTTTTTTTGTTATTCAACAGTGTTATTAATTGCTATAATTATTATTGTAGGGAGACAATACTTATGCAACAATAAGACGTCCTTCTCGCCGTGGCTCTATAAATACTTTATTGACAATGACGCCCGGCGAATATGCTACTTTGGGAGGATCTGTGTTACCATTGCCTCCTGATGGGGGTACTTCTCATAGTCAACAAGTAAAATATTAAAATATTGATATTCAATACTTAATTTAGTCTAGTTACCTTGCGGATGGTGAGGTTTTTTAATAAATTAGGATAGACTTAAATAGATTGGTTCACAGTGTTTTTCTCATTCCTTCTAGAGTATAGGACGTAGAATAGTAATAATTTTTGACTATGTGTTTGATAGTTAACTTATGTCACACAATGAATAAGTAGTTGGTTATTTTTTTCCCATTAAGTTTATCTATCACTGGTGTGACCAATTTTTATGTTGATTTGTGATTTGTGATGGTTTTCTGATGTCTTTATTTTTCAACTGGTTGCCAAGGTTAAAAAAGGTTCTGCATTTTTTTGTTTTAATTCATGAAGAGTTATGTTTGCAGTGTCCTCATTTCACAGAGCTTAATACAACTTAATATTATCATAGGTTAAATAACACTATTGTGTGATAACGCTAATATACAGGGACAACAAATGACCTGTCTACTAATGGTCATCGACATTCTGTTCACCTAACCTGTACGTCCCGTACATCATATTATTATATACATTATATAATATATTACTATTTATTTATTCCTACAATATTTTTCTCAGGACAGTGGGCAATATCAAAAATTTTCAAACAGGGAGAGGATAGTGGTGTATTTTATTTGCATATATTGTTCCCCCCTCCCTTGGGTATAGGCTAGATTTGTTCTTTATGCGATTATCATTTTATAACAATACAATTATCATGTTAGCATTAAATAAAATGAAATATAATCAGATGGAAAAAAGTCCAAGAAATCTCACCAGTCATAAACAAGGTGTGTGAGGAGACCCAAGTTTATTTAATCTCTACCAGTCAAACTTTTGATGTGACACTTCACTATCAGAACTAATACAGTGAAACCTCCCTTAAAGGAACCTCCAAACAGCGGACGTTTTTTCGGGGACGGGGACATTTTTACTATTTATGTATAGGAAAACCTCTAAATATAGGACACTCTAAATAACAGACATTTTTATGACACTGATATTAATAATTTTTATCTTAAATTAAGAATTATTATTTTGGAATACCAGAATAAAAACCTCAATCTTATGTGTACATTATTAAACTGTATATGAAAATCTTATTTTTTCCGTTCAGTCACTTTATCGCGTCAACGAAGTATTGTAACTAATGCATTGTCCTATGTGCGTTTAGTTGTGTTTATGATGCCAATATACAAACGTTTTGGCATTGCTAGCAGTAAAGGCATACGTAAATATATTTCTTCTATCGAGATACAGAATAGTTCATTGTACTTAAACAAAGTGAAATTAAAAAATGCTTTAACACACTAAATAATTACGCCTGCCATTAGTAAACAAACTAAAGTAACAGATTTTATTCCGAAAATAAATGTTAGTTTTTATTTTTATCGTGTACCTATTTAATTAATATAAAAATAATATAAAATAAAATTATTGAATTTATTTATCTATTGAAAAAAATGTTTTCCTCTAAATAGCGGACAAAATTTCGGCGACCGAGAGTGTCCGCTATTCAGAGGTTTCACTGTAGTTCAATATCAGCACTAACAGGCAAACAACTGTACTCCCCGTTAACCCAATTTTTCATGAGAGCCAAAAAACAAATTTTTATTTATATATTTAATTTTAAATAGTTAAGTTTGAGCCACACTGATTAAAAATTAAGTGGGCAGTAAAGCAAAAGCACTGTGATACATTAATAAACTTGAAAACAACCAATTGGGTTAAAATATATTAATAAAGTGGCAGATATGCCCATTTTGTTTTATTACCTGGAGTTTACTGGAATACTCCGTTTTATGAAAGTTCCGTGTTAAAACCTAGAATGGAACATTACTCTAGTTATTATATCCCATGACCACTAGGCTGCGGATATCCCTCAGTGAGTCTATCAACAATAACTTTTTCGTCAATATCTTGATTCATGTTTCACAACGATAACTTAAAAAAAATAAAATCTGAGTTATTGGTTTTTAAACGATTTAATTTTAATACCCATTACAATACCTATTATAACTGTTTTTAAAACTCTTCATTTAACTTTTTTTTTTTTATTAAGATCAAATAATTTATTTGTACATAGACTATACTTACCTAATCTCTAAAATGTAATAATATTTGTAGATGTTTGAAGCTTCACTTGGATTTCAAGGATCTACATTCCAAGTTCCAGATTCCGCTTTGGATACTAGTAATTTGCTGATAAACAATTCTGACATATGACATAACATTAATATTTATAAATTTATAAAATATTTTGACATATTTACATATATATAACAATGTTGGAGAAAATTCTATTATGTTTTAGTCACTAATACTACTCCATAGATTATTAAATAATCATCATATTTAATCTATGGTAGTATTTATTTATTTTATGTAATAATACATAATGAACATAGAGACATATACAAGGTACATAGCTGCTTAAAATATACAAATCAAATGTATGTATTAATTTATTTATATAATTTTACTAAGTCAATTATGATTGCGCATATTCAGATCTGTTACACTGGGCCAACTATTTATTAAGTTTACAATAGATGATTCTTTTTTTGTTTTTTTTTTATAATTATATTGCATTTAAATGTAATTTCAAATCATTTGAAGTTATATTAATAATTCGAAATGCTAAAACATGTGATCATTGAATTATTATTTATGTTAAATGAGTAATAGGTAATTGTATGCATTTTTATGTTTATCAATTGTGATATATCAGTATTAAAAAACGAATTATTTTTAATAATGATTAGATTTAGCATAATATATACAATATTATATCTATAAGGTTTTATAAATTAATTATATTCTATGCTGTGAAACTATTTATGTATTACTAATTATCCATTACTTAACTTATTTTTGTATTTTTATAGTTTTATACTGTATTTTAAAATGAAACTAGCTAGTTAATATTTAATAATTTTAACATTTTTTTATTAATTTTAAATTACAAAATTTTTTATATACATTTTAGTATTTTACTAATGTTTTGATAATTTTATTAAATCCTTTTTAAAAAAAAAAAATATTCTCTTATTTTTAATATTTCATCCAAACATCTACCAATTGTATGGTAAATATTAATACCTATAGATTCTTTTAAGCAAAAACTTTTGCACGGTAAAGAAACAAGAAGGCTTGGAAGTTTTTGTAATAAATCATGTATAAAATACCATGCATTCGACGTCACTTTACAAATCAACTAAGTGTTGTTGTAATTACATTATTATTATTATTAAATTTGTGGTATATTACATAACATGTAGTCATACGAGAATAAGAAAAATCAAAATAAATATAACTTTGTAAATTGGTAAGGAACTAAAAAAAATTCAAATATTTATTTGTTTAAATGTATTTTTTTAAGACAAAATATGCAAAAACATGCACTTTTTAACTTGATACATTTATTACTATTCAATTGTTCTTAAACAAATTTGTAACTCAGTTAGCATGTTCTCTTGTGTAGCAAGTAAAACATGCAAACGCTTGAACTTACGAGCTCTGGTTATAACCAATAAACCACATTTTCACCACGAATAGAGGAGAATTTCAACTGTGTCATAGCGTTTTGATAAGACCAATATATAATAAGCTATTTAAGTTTGAAAAATGTAAAAACGCTACATCACAGATATCTTCAATGTTGTGTGAACTTTTGTTGTCCGCTAAACTACAGAGTGGTTCTATCCATTGCTCAACAGTTTTTGCTATGTCGAACATTTGTAAGACAAACACAACACACGAGGGTGTAGCATCCTCCTAAAGAAAATGCTTTGAAGTCGCAATACTCAATTCATTCATGGTAAAAATTCATTAGAACCAAAAACATTTGGACACTATATTAGAGAAGATTGTTTTTTTGATATTAAGAACTTTCAAAAGGTAGTTTATGTTGTTAAAAAACAATTACTAACTGTTTTTTTTATAAATTCCTATCATCAACATCAACTTTTATTCTGTTCAAAAGTATTTGGGGTTCAATGTAGTTTTTCAATAAAACTGGAGTTAAGTCAAGTACTCAAAGAAGTTTGAAAAATATTAGTTTCTACATTTAGATTGTAAAACATACAGAACTATTAAGGGGTAGTACTGATTATTCACAAATTCAACGTTTAAAACTTAACTAGAATTAAGTTGACAGTAATGTATGCTGCACTTGAGGTATAATTATGCACAATTTGCATCAACTAATATTTTACATGTATGTTATCATGGCGTTTAAAACAATTAAAAACAAAATGATAAATTCAAGGAAAATGCAGATTTCTCAGCAGTCAACATTTTTATTACATATCAAACAAAGATATTATAAAGCTTTGAAATTATTTTGTATGGGTAGCTTGTGCCTTTCTCATTTGCAATAAAATGTTGCTGAGTTCTTCACGCTTCCTCTTGGCGCGAATGTGTGTTCCCAACTAAAATAAAAATATAAGCGTATTATTTTCAGTACATAAAAAAAAATTAAATAAGTAAATAGATGAAATATATGCTTACTCGTCGTTTCAAGAATTTCAATGCACGCTTGTCTTTGGATACCTTCAACAATTCCATTGCTCTCTTTTCAAATGGTGCATGACCCATAACTTCCCTTACAACATCTCTGATGAATTTATTGTGCTTAGTCAAACGCTATAAAAAATTAATTCAAATATAATGCTTAAACTATCGATGAATTGAACACAATTAAAATTAAACTGTATTCTACTTTGAATAGGATTTAAAGGAAGTTCATAGTACATGGTATTTATATTGTTATGTTAAAATTTAAGAACCAATAAAATAAAGTACCTATTTTTTTGTCTAAGATTTGTAGCTACTAATTATGCATTTCAATTCAAGGTTTTAGAAGAACAAACTTTAGTATAATGGTAAGATGAATCTGTCATACATATTTTGATAACATAAATATTGCAATATAAGGGCATTGTCATTTTCTTTAAAAAAAGGTAGCAAAATAATCATAAAATTACCCAAATTAATTTTTTGAATTGATTTAAAGCACGGCAACTGTGGCCATTAGCTGTTTGAAAGGGAGGGAATGGTTGAATTTTGTGGAAGACGTGTGTATTTGGCAGAATTTCTAGTGAGCACCTGTAGGTTTCTGCCATGCTCGGTTGAGGGGCGGCGGCCTCTCTCCAGGCACCGTGACTGCCCGAAGAGTGATGCCACTCGTGACCGAGATTCAAAACTGGCAACGGTGTGCGTCGCAACAGACGCTTTGGTCGACTCGGTCACTTCTCACCCCCTAAATTAATTTGTACACATTTATCAGTGTAATTATCTTTTAAGTCATTGGATTTTAACAAAACAAATGCATTTAAGTATGAAATTAGGTAGATAATTTGAGACTATTAACCTAAGGTTTTTTTAATTAGTTTAAATAGTATTTATACCAATATTGCATTAAATAGAAATTGATCTGAAACAGGATGAATTGTAACACATTTTTAATTTGCAGTGTACCTTCAATTAAGAAGTATTAAAAAGTTAGACTAGAGTAAACTTTAAACTAAAAAATATCTGCACGACAATAGGTAGTTTAGTCAAACATATTATTGTAAATTAACTACACTTCTTGATTGAAAAAATATTAATTGTTAAATCGGCTTCCGTTACGTTTGTCAATTACAAGAGTGAATTAATCATTGATTATGTGAATTCATGGACATACTTGGTAAACCAGTTAGTATTGTAAAAAGAAAATATTAACACATTTTAGTATACAGAATAATTTGTACATGTTACTTACGCCTTTAGTGCGGGCTTGTCTGAGCTTTTCGCTTTTGGCTACCAGTTCTTTACCGCTGACTTTGCCAACCCTCTCAATTTTTGTGGTCTTGTGACCACGTTTCATACCAACCGCAAGCTCATAACGAGGAGCCATTGTTCAGACTCTGTAATAAAAGTTCAAAATATTGATCAATAAACACAAACGACAATAATACTAAAACCTGAAAAAAATGACGCTACGTAAAATTGTTCGTCTAGGAAAAACGTAAATTTATACCGAAAAATATATTGAAACAGTAAATAAGGATTACGATTTGATATTAAAATCAATTATAAGTCTTACCTTAAGTCGGATGTATACGGATAAAGTACAAACGCGAACGATGTTTATATAAAATGTGTAGTAAGTTGACGGACTACGGATCACAGATCCTTAACAAAAAATAACAACAAAATAGGATTTTTTAGGTTATACCATTACTCCGTGATAAACATCGTTGGTGACGTTAGTGTGGTCGTCGGTATAGAACAACTGATAAACATTACGTTATCACTTATCATTGATACCGGAGTATGGAGGTACCGTACGTAACAAAATAACAAATCCATCCACAGCTGATATAGTTAGTAAGTACATAAGTTAAATCAATCTCTTATAAGTATATCAAAAGATCTACTCCTACTGGTTAATCGTAACTTTAAGTCTTTAAATAGGTCTTAACTTATATATTTAGCCAAGATGCGATTGATTTATTTTAATTGGACATATGCGTCGTCGATTTAGATCCAATAACAATCCAAATACATAGCTCACAACTAGTGCTGCTATAAAAAGTACTTTATTATATTTATATACTTCGATTTCTTTTATAGGTAAATGGGAATAGTAATTTGTTTACTCACGAAGAAGATTCTCTTTTCTTCACTAAATGGAAAAATAAAAACATACATTTAACAAGCTGATGAATGATGATAAAGAATCAACCATTAAAGCACCCATAGACAATGTTCGCAATGATCCGTTTATCAAAATTATTACTGATAGTGTACCTGTTGTATTATTTAGGCACAGTTGAAAAACTTATATCTCGATTTTGCAGTGCCCAAATGATATTAAGGCATTAATTGATGTATCAAATAACACTGAGTACAAAATATGATCGTGCATACTACTGTCAAAACGATAAAAAAAGCATAGAACTCTACGAATGGCCACCCTAACATAACGCCGGCATTTGTTGTCTCCGTCTTACAAATGCGTAACATAGTAAATTTAAGCTCAGCAGATCACGTGTAGCTTCGATAGTTTAAAAATTTGAGTGAATCGACTAGTGTGAAACCCAATGGTAAGAATATTATTTGTGTTTGTATGTGGGTTTTTAAGATACCTAGTTCAATTTTTAAGTAAGTTTTAATATAGCGTGAATAAAAAATGCTCATAAATCACTGAAGAACTAAATTATCGTAACAAATCCCACATACAAACACAGATAATGTTCTTACCATCAAATTACACAAGAGGTCGATTGATTCTAATTCTTAAACTATAGATTAAAGAAGCTATACGTGATTTGTTGAGCGTACATTTTCCATGTCACGCACTCGTAAGACGTATAAGAGTGCCAGTGTTAAATCCCCATGAAGATATTTCGCCACGTGCCCGTATTATAAGTTAGTTCCTCGGCTTATGTTTACCACGATGCAGTTACATGCAGCTGAGTATTATAATATACAAGCATTCACTGTAAAAAAAAAAGTAAAAAAGCACAATTACCTATTCCACTTCGGAGTTAGATTAATTTTACGGTCCGAAAAAAGTCAAAATTAACCAGTCATAATATTCTTAAGGTAAGGTACTAAGGTGTAGTTGGTATACTTATAAATGTTTAAATGTCCACTGCTGCATGGTTTTGTTTGTTACTTCGCTAAATATGTAGATGTAGAATCTAGTCATTGATTTGAAATGAAAAACTTAAATCTTTTCTGCGAATCAAAGACGAAGCGGACTATAATATTATTATAACAGTCCCGGGTCAAGTGACTTAGGCCATCATCTCAGTGGGATTTGTAATTCTGACGTTTAAGCATCAACACGTGTCAGGCGTCCATCCATATTGACTCATACGACGACGTTTCAGACTAAAAGCCAACCGAATTATCGGCAAGCGGCGACGCTACCGAACGACTTGATTTGAGGTGGTATAGTCGTGGGTTATACCAAGGTGTACATACCACAACAGTGCACCACGTGTGGTGTATTATCCTGGTGTACCACTGCTTAACACGGTGTACCAATTGGCACCTTCATGGTTGACTTTGGTGGTGCACCAAACGGACCTATAACCTGCAGGTTCACCATAATTATGTACCCGGAACACAATGCTGTACTCAGAGCCCAAAATTAATTATTTTCTAAATTCTAGATTACCAACTTAAATTATAAACGCAGTCTTTTTGCTATTTGGATTTTTTATATTCAATTTATTTTATAATATTATAAGATTCGCATAATATGTCTATATACGTAATTATTTAATGATGGTCAGTATAAATAAAACGACGAAATTAAAAATATAAATATAATTAGAGAAGTATATTGTAGTAGAATAAAACGGAGAAAAGAAAAAAAAATGGTAGACTACTGCGTGTTTTTGTAATACGATACGAGGGACAGTGGCTATGAGTGTGATTCGCATAGGTATATATCAGTCTTATTATTTTAACACGATTATTATCGCGATAATTTTTAAAGCGGGTTCATGATTACTCTACTAATTATATTTCGTTTAAAATGTAATATGTATGTATTCACTTACCTTTTTCGCAGCGTGTTCTGTATAATATTTGCAGTGTATATTAACTATATTGTTCTCTGAAGGGGGTGTTCGATACTCGATATCACGAACGCCGAGATTTCTCAATATACCTACACGCGTATGCCCAACACAGCTATACGCCCAACGATATAGATACACCTCTGAACAGCAGCAAAAAGTGTGTATCGCGATGCAGACTGGCGTGGACATTGTGCATCGGCTCCACTTGTGGAAAAAAAAAACTGTTATCGGGTCGATTTCGCGTCATCCTTGTGCAGCGTGCGTTATCTGGTGTAATCCCTTCCCAATTGGTGTGTATCGATCGAACGAAACTTTGAGGTACGTCTATGATTTTTATATTGTACGGTGCAGTGACCAGTGACGTAAGTATGAACGAAATATAAAAAATATAATATAATATAATATGTACGACGTTTATATCGATCCGTGCAACCTTTCGATCGTACTTGTTTGGGGGTGAGGAGAGGTGTTAATGTGTTCCGTGTGTCCTGTGATTGTATGGCGAGTGTGTGTATCTCGTGCGTATGTATATCGCTCTACCCCGCACACGGTGCGAACCAGTATGACCAATTATATCCATTTTTATGGAAGAACAGTAATTAAATATTTAATATTACAGTATACACGGTTTTTAATTTTTCATACAAATGTTTACTGATATATACATAGTCCGAAGTGGTAATGCATTTTTCAACATAGTCAACGTAAATAATAAAAAAATGTACATGATTTTGAATTTAAGACCGCGGTTTTTCTTCTAGATTTTAGTAAACTGACTTTTGAATTAGACCTAAAAAATCAAGTATGTTATAGGTATTTCCCGTAACTACGTAAACAATAATATCATACAATTTCACAGGGCCACTTTAATAATTAATTATCAACAGGGACCCGGGGCCGCAAATAATATCAGGGTCCCGGGCTGCAGCCCACCTAGCCCCCCCACCTCCAAGCTGGGCTTTGGCTGTACACGATTGACACGCTCTTAGTGGAAGTCGACCAGATATCGCTTGGTGGAAATACCTTTTAATTAACATTAAGTTAAAAGTAAGGGAGGGATTAATTGGCTTACTTTTTATACTTGTATTTTTAATTCTTTGAGTTTTTGTTAATTAACGCTCAGATTACACCAAACAGTTCACTAACATAATGTAAACTGTATAATTAATTTGAGTTATAGATATTAATTTAATAATTGAATATTTCATGTGCCTATTTCCAGCTCAACGTGGGCCAAAATATTTTGAAAATTGTATGGTGTATAGAAAATTCTAATATATACATTCAAGGTACGTTTCATGTATCTATTGTCTATTGCTATTTGTTATAGGGTTACACCAAAAATCAAAATTGGTTTTGAATAACAATTTTCTTTCTTTTTAATTTTTTGTTTGTTTTTCCAAGCGCTTTTGAAAACTACTGGGAATTTTAAATTTTGACTGGATTCACTTTCCTGTCGAAAAAGATACTGAAGTTGAAAATCGAAGCTTTATTTCGGATACTCTTTGTGCAAGTTCACAAACACAAATAAATAAACAAGAAAACACATAATATTGTAAAATTAATACATTCATCACTCCACTCAGAATCTAAAAAATAATTGTTCATACCAATAGCGGCGTCCCATACATAACTATATAAGACGATAACATTGGAATATTTTATGCCATTTAAAAGCATGCGGTACTACATTTGGCGAGTTTTTTGAAGTGAATCTTCTTTACGGAGGGTACGGAAAAAAATCAATAGTATATTTTTATATATTACTAGCTGTTCTGACCGACGTTGTCAGTGCTAAAGATTTGTTTGAAAAAAAATATATTTGTAAAAAAATGTGTTTGCCATATTCGATATTTCTACTATATAATTATAATATTTTAGTTGGTAATGTAAATTGCAATCTATGGGTCACGGCCATCATTTAAATAAGCAAAAAGGATATTGCTTTTTTTGTGAGCTGAAAAAAATGCATGTGTGATCTATACCCTTTTGCTATGGGTTGAAATAGGCTTAAAACCATATCCGTATTATAATGTATCATTAAAAAAAAATCAAGATGATAGAAGAGTAGTTTCTGAGGTTAGCTGTTACAAAGAAGTAAGAACGTATATTTCACGTTTATGTAGTTAGATAGATATTAGCACTATAATTATAAGCATTTTAAAATTGGAGTTGACAAGAAGAAGAATAGGAAAATGCTTTGTTTCACAAGCATCTTTAAGGAACGCCTATAAGTTCTAATATTTTCAACGATAACTTTCGGTAGTCTTAGGATTTAGAACGCAGTGTGGAACTTGTTCATGTTTATTGTTTTATTTCAGAAGTTTGTCGTTTTTGTGATACTTTTATTTTTAATAATGGATCGGTTTTTATTAAACAGTCCTACACGTTGAGAAGATGAAGAAAGAATAAACCCTCAACTAGCCGTCACCCGGCTATAAAAAAGCGAAAATATAGTATAAATAAGATGATAGATGTTTGGAGTTCAATTTTACGTCAACAGAAATTAACTGTGAAGAGAGGCCAAAATGTGTATTGTGTATGAACATTTTGGCACCAGAATACATATTGCCGAGTAAATTGAAGCGCCATTTAGACGCGAATCTCAAGAACCTGGTAAGAAAACATGGAGATTTCTTT